AGGGTTAAGAGCTATCAAGTGGCAAGTGCAAGGTCTTTACGTGAATTAGGCGTAGGACTTTGAACTGAAAGAGTTTGTGATTTTTTATATTCTTTTGAATTGAAATTTGTAGTTTTAAGTTCAATAATTTAGTGTAATTTTATATTTAGTTCATAATAATAATAATATGATTCAGTATTTAGAATGATAAATTTGTGTGAATTGTACGTAATACTACTAGTACCAGTACCACATAAGAATTTTATATTTTTCCTTCTTACAATCTTTACTTTGTAGTAAGACCCACACTTCTGTTGTTATTGCGTTATAATTAAAATGGTCTAACTGATATATATATATAGTTTATTCTGATATTTTGTAAATGGTTTAAAACTCAGTGTACAAGTGACAACAATAGAACCCATATGTTGGTTGTGGAACAAGCTAAATACATTCATCTCAATAATACAGGGAAGCTATGACATTCTCACAGTTGGTGTCTCAATACACTGAAGAGCTTAAGTTTCGAATTCCAACATAAATCTTGCCTATAATGAGAGGAATGTGACCAAGACTAATCTTTTAAGTGCTTTAAAGTAATTTTCTTTGTAATTTATGGTGTCTGTATCATTTGGTAATCTCTTCTAACAGGTTGTACCAAGTAACAAGGGGTCAGGCTCAGGTGGTGTTTATTGAAACCACCTGTACTATACACTTACATACATTCGCTAGTAGTGGCAATTAGTTTTGTCTCTATAGTGAAACAACATACACGGACATATGTTGAAATAAACTTGTTTGAAAGTTCAAAATAATGATATTTAAGTACCGAAAGCTTTCTTACTAACATATCTACAGTAATGTTCAAATGCACCCACGCTGGGTTGAACGAGAGTGACCCCCAACAGGGGGAGATAGTTTACAGAAAACGTACGAAGTTCATGCTGCTGACCCCATGGTTTATTCAGCACAATAAACAAAAGTACATAAACGTAAACTTGAAATAAAAATATATTTATGAAACAAAATTAAAATGTTTTTATGTACATATATAAACATGAAATCCTAGTTAAAAATAAAAATACTCATTTATTGTTTAGGTTTATTTACAAATATTGTTTTCGGGTCTTGTATATTACTTGAAACCATAAGGAGAGCACGTGATTATTAAAAAAAATTAAAATAGGTATAATTTGCATTTTGTGGACGATACAATTTTTGGGATTTCGAAATAATGTACTAAAACATAAAAAGTAATAAGTTCAAATCTGGAACAAATATAAATATCATAATAATTTCTTATAAATACCATTTCCTAATGTAATTTTCCAAGATATTAATAATCATAATGCAAAAAAACTAAACTTATCAAAGTAACAGGCTTTATGTTTCTTAAACTACATGCATTTATGAAAGTTCTTATGAAGTTTCAAACAGTTTCATTCACTAGTTTTATTGTTCGAATGAAATATAGCAAGACTTGCATTGGCTATTCAAAAAGTTAGTAGCTGGTGGTCATCGGGTTAAGGTGGGTATAATACACTTTACTTTGTTCTTGTTTAATTCATTCTGGATCCATTAGTATTGGAATTGTCAAAATTTTGCAAACAATAATGTGGAAAGTGGCCAGCTGTTAAGTATTTTCACTGGTGAAAGTTTCTTCTGGCCTTAAAACTGAAACCTGCAATCAAATTTTATGAACATCTTATCCAAATAGTAAGCTGTACGAGTGACTTTCTGTAACTGATATTTCACGTACAGTTTATGTACCAAGTTGTGCCATTACAACATATCATGCAGCATCAATCTACTTATCTGTTTGTAATGTCACTTATATCAGTGACAAAACCATTTTATTGTTAAGTCGTTAAATAATGAAATTAAAATAAAAACTAAAATCTGTTTTGACACTCTAACTTGCCACTACATCAAGAAAAATCTTGCTGTTGTAGAACCATTAAGTTTTTATATGAAGTTAAAGAATCTAATAAATTGTACAATTATTAATAAATATAGATTTCATATTATGAAATTAACAGGTGTTTATAAGAAACAATTTCAACTCAAATTGTAAGTTAAAAAATGTGACTATCCAGGCAGGCCATTCATAAATACAATTAGAAATGTGTATCTGTAATACTGCCCACATAGGTGTGTTAGTAAACATTATGTATGTGAAACTTTGTTTTAATTGTTTCATAGTCTTTTAAACCTCACATTCAGTTTAGTGTAATGTAAAACTTTAACATACATGTAGATGTCACCAATATGTCAGGTTTAAGAACAGTATTAAAAACTTCAATTATTGTTTATTGGTTTTGTCAGTTCACACATGAGGTGGGAACACAGTTTAGCTTAGTATGTCCAGAGCAATAAACTAAAAGTACATTCCAAATTTAAGCTTATACCAGTAATTAAATTTATATATTTTATTGATCTTATAAAATGATTCTAATTGTCTGCTGGCTGTCCTTACATTCTTAATAATAATGTTTTACTTATTCACCTATTTAATCCTTTTGAAGTGGGTTTCCCATTAAACACTTTTCTGTGCAAGTTGCTGAGTTACATTCAGATTTAATTAAACAACTTTATTATCAATGTATGTCAGTGAAATTAACATTATAATTTATGTTATAAATCGAAGTTTTATGTTATTTATGTTTTAATTCCTTTATTTCAAAAGAAACCTTTAAAAAGTACTTAAACTTCAGTTTTGTTCTCACGTGATATGTGAGATTCCATAAAGCTGAACTCTCACAATATCTAATTATACAACTACAGTGCCTGTAGATGTATGTCTAGATTAAACTACATTTACTACACTATTTACATGTATGTTCCAAAGTTCTTTGGCTGAGTTCAGTTGAAACTAGAGATAACTTTTTCCAACCTTTGTCAGGTGTCATGCCCACCTATATATAGCATTGAGATTTACAAGTCACATGAACCATTAGAAAGCACTTATTTTACACTAACCCAGCAATAATTATTTTGAAATTGGTGCACAGTTGTTGTTGTTGTTGTTGAGTAGATGTAACTGCCTGTAGTATTGTTGGCTGCTGTGTCCACAATAGCACTTACAGTTGTTTGTTACCTCAGTATTTTATGGTTAGAGAGACAGTTAAATCATATTTACTTTTATATTGTAGTTATTTAAGTATTACTTATGTTTAAAATGCACAATTAAAAGGGTTAAACATTTTTGAAATATATTTCGAACTTTGCCTTGGTTCTCAAGACTAACCATATTATGGGAGTGCAAGAAAATTTTGCTGAAGGTTTGCCAAAGACACTGTAATATGCCCTGAAGACACTGTTGACTTGTGTCGAGATGAATAATAGATAGTAAAGGAAAATAAAACCATAAAAATTATCTGTTTAAAAAGGAAAAGACCTGAAATTACAAATATAACCAAAAGATCTTTAAGATATTCTATGAAAAATTAAAAGATATGTACATTTTTCTATTTCTTAATTTCAAATATTTCATTACACTGTATGTTGATGATATCTGCAGTTAGTGATATGGAAGAGAAAATGAAAAATGAACTTTTACCATTAAAAACACTTTTGATATTCATTTAAGAAGTTCTAGATGTTATGTAAATAAAACTCAAACTCTAAGATGAAGAAAAATTTTTATACTTAATGAAAATCATCTTGTACTCAAACTCTGAACAGTTTGAATGCAAATGACTACAATAGATAAAATAACATTTTTAGTAGGAAGACTGTAATTAAAATACAATTCTTTGTGTACAAGAGGCTTATAATCTTTAACAAAATCTTACCAGTTTTGTGAGAATACATTAGAAAGCTCAGAGTTACTGTATGTATTGTTGCACATATATCCTTCCTCTTGAAATACTCGTGTATTTTGTACAATCCCGTTGCAAAGAGTATCATACCAACAATTCTGTGTTAGAAGGAAAACTTGCATTTACCTACACTGAAGTTTGAGTAAGTACATAATAATTATATTATGAATTTCAGATTAACTGCCACTAAAATGTTGCCTTATCCACATATTTCCAGATCACTTTTTGCAATGAAGTGTCCATAATAGAAAAAATGACATATTCCGCCCATCCTTCAACAGATGATTGGTAAGTTGTTTTTTTAGTTTCATGCTAGTACTGATATGTTCACTTTCACAGAAATAGGATGCTAATATATTGGTTTTATTGTTGGTCAGAGATTTGTTTGTATTCCTGGTTCTAGTAGATTCCATAATCAATATTTTTGTTAGCAAGAACTATTCACTGGGTTTCGAGAACTTGCAGAAAGAGAATATAGGAGACCATTTTTTACAATTAGCCAAGATTCTTTCAATAAAAGTTTAATACTGAAATTACCAGATACTATTGTGAGAAGAAGAAAATAAAAGCTTTATTAATCCTATAACCATGGATACCCTTTACTGTTCATGACACAAGGTTTTAGTGCCTTACATTCAAAATTTTATTAAACCACTTTTTGTTTGTTTTACCAATTAGTATAGCATAATATCTTAGCTAATAATCCATATTTTAATAGTATACAAGTTTTAAGTTCTTAATTCTATAAGGCAATATTTAAAAAAAAAGCCTTAATTTTCCCTAGTGTTACATACGTGACACATTTTCTCTAGGCATCTTTTCTTCTCTATTTTATCCATCACCCCTCCAAAAAGTATGAAATTAAGCATGAATTACTCGCTATAAAATTTGCTTTGCTCAGACAAACCATAATTTTTTATAGCCTTCAATTTTGTTTGGTTACAGAGATCTCAAATAGAAAATCAGACCTCTCTTGCCACACCCACCTGTCACATTCTCTCTTTCTAGATTTCTTAATAGTTCTCTCTTACGTTTAGTCATATAACCTATAACCAATAGAAAGTGAAGGTTTTCATCTATCAAATGATGTTTTATATTTCGTTGTGTTCTAAACAGATAATTGTCAATTTCACTTGAAGTACAAGCTTCTTTCCCATGGGAATGGTAATGAGTAGCTTGGATGAATATATAATGGCTCTTTTTGCATAGTTAGAAAGGCAGAAAAATTGTGATTGTTAGAGGAAATTGTCTACTTTTTGCATGTTGTTATTCATAAAATTATTTAATGCACTACTACTACTACCATTAGTACAAAAAAGTAGGGTTATGTGTCATTGATAGTCAACAGCAAAAAAAAAGAATACTCTTGTAAGTACTTTATTTCTTATTTTTTATGTTTATTCTTTATTTATTATTATAAAAGTAACTAAAATGTAAAAATAGGGATCTCTTTAGGTTAGTTAAGATTAGATTAGGTAAAATAAATAATAATAATATTATAATTAAAATATTTCATAAGGTACGCATGCAAGCAGCTTGGAGTAGCTCGTAGGTAAGGTAATTTGATAGCATAAAGTGAGCTGCACATTCTCCAAATGAGTTATCTTAATGCCAGCTCTGTGTTTCATGTTACAGGTGTCTTGTAACTATGGGTTCCTAGTGTTTAACTAGCTTAACCCTATCGAGATGAGTAGGGGTCAGAGAGCATGTCATCACGTTTGTAGATTTACATTCAACATTTTATTTAGTTATTATTTTATAAATGTATGTCAATAAGTTTGGTATCAAATTGTATATTATAATTCCAATTTTAGTATTATACATTAGTTAATTTCTTAATTTGAAACTAAATATAAAAAACGGCTATCAATTTTTGTTTGTCCCATGGTACTTGGCCTTCTGGGTTTGGTCAGATTACATTTTATGATGCTCACAATACAATGTCTGTAGTTTTGTATGAATTAGAAACTGAAAGATTCAATATAGGCAAGCTAGAATATAACATATGAACCTCCTACCTTTTCTATTTGCTCTGCCCAACACTTCATCATTTGAGAAGACTTATTTATCTACGCCAACTTTTATATACCAATAACTTTATAATCAACTGAAAGCTATATATTTATTCTATATAATTCTGTCAGTGTTCTTAAGTTATTTATGTGAGAAATGCAATTATATCATTGGAAAGTTTGAAGTATTTCAAAAAAGGCTATTTTGTGAATAGAAATTATATTTTTTAGACCCCAAATACAATTTAGTTAGGAAGCCTGATAAATTACAGTGGATCTTTGGGGTATTGGTACAGTAATTTATAGTTTTTTTTGTTTTTTTTGTATTCCAAAATGCTTATATAAAGTCTACAAACATTATTATTTTTCCATCTCCACAAGTGAATTTGTACGAGGCTTAGCAAGTATGGCTCATGAGTACAAACAAGGACTTTGTAGCATCGTAAGTAGTAGAGATCATTGAAATAAATCATAAGAAATAAATTTATTACTGAACAACTGATCTTAACACATGAAAAGGAACATCTTTACATAAACATCCAGTTGAACTTGCAGTTTGCTGGTGAATAATTTGTTTCTTAAGTTACAATCAAGAAGGCTAAGCCAAGAATACTAGCCTAACCAAAACGACCCGTATTTATATTACTGGAAACTACACATTTATTGGTCACTGTGTAAGCATGGTAATATAGGAAACAGGATGCCCGTAAGCATTTACACACATTTACACCTATACTAATGCTAAATCTCAACCACCAAGTAAGATAACTAGCAAGTTTATTGGATAGGATACAACTTTATACTTTGTACAGAGACATATCATAAATATTTTCTCTCACTTTTATAAAGTATTTTAGATAATTCTTGTTGCAACCACTGTATTGTAAAAAAACTGGCAAATTCTATCTCGCTGTGTTCTCAGAGCAGCGACCCGAATAATCTCTGTAGGATACTTCCGCTTTTTGACTTATTGGATCGGCCCAGACTTTCTGCAAAGTCATAAACATTTTATAATACTTAAGACAATTGTCATTGTAACCATTATACTGTCAACAAATTGATATATCCTATCCCACTGTGTTTTCAAAGCAGGGAAAATTCTGGGAATTGTGCCGCAAGAACTTATTTGATATTGACGGTGTAAAAGTGCTCAATGTATGGTAACACCTGAACAGGAACGGTGATTCATTGCTTTATATTTGGCAGGTTTCAGTTAATGTTTTAGGGGACAGATTTACGACATTGGAAGTGTTTTCGGGTTTGGGTCTCTCAGACAAGGAAGTAGCTGAAATGGATGAGTCAGGAGTAGAGCTTATTTTATGAGACAACTTAACTTGCGAGTTTGTATTATTTGAGTTATTGGTCAACGATTCACAGGTAGCGTCAGTAGGGGCTTGTTTAAAGTTATTATTTCGTTGTGAACAGACGATAAGATTTTGGTGAGATAATCCTTTACTTTTATGTGAAAGATCATGATGTGTTTGTTCCTTGTTGTTTATCTCGTGATTTTTGAAATACTTTTTTTTTGTTAAGGCCCCCATTGGCACAGCGGTATGTCTGCGGACTTACAACACTAGAATCCGGGTTTCGATACCCATGGTGGGCAGAGCATAGATAGCCCATTGTGTAGCTTTGTGCTTAATTACAAACAAACAGGTTTGGAACCTGGTGGAGGATTGCTAGGAATATAGAAGATACCAGAAGGAAGGTTGTTTTCAAGGTATGCAGAAGATTTGGCTTTTGGGAGGTCATCAGGCTCAGAGCTTACTAGAAGGTTATTGGGAATAAGAGTGGAAGCCGTAACTTCTGCATGAGTAGAGAATTTAGGAAAAGGGTCAAATGTAGACTTTTGAATAGTTCCAGGAGAAGTAATGATAGAAATGGAACTTGGATGTATAGAAGTGTGGCATACAGATGTATGTACTTTGGGTTGAAAGGTTGTGACTGAGGCAGGCTTTGTAGATTTGGTATCAAGTTTAGGGCTTAGGGAAAGGTTACTAGAAATAAAACTGGAAGTTATAACTTCAGCATAGATTAGACATTTAGGCGAAGGGTCACAATTAGAGTTTGGGACAGTTCCAGGAGAAACAGGGTCTGGAAGTGTAGTAGAGATGTGGCATACAGGTGTATGCTCTTCCGGTTGAGAGTTTTTCAATGAGATAGAGGTATGGGGAATAGAAGAGGTTGAAGGAGATTTAGGACTAAGGGTGTTTGGTTGGTTTACACTGGAGTATCCAGTATTAGTTTGTAAGCGAGGAAGAATAAAGTTGGTAATAAAGAAGCGGAAATTACAGGATAGGGAAATGATTCCTTGGAAAGAAAAGTGTAAACTATCCTTTACTAAGAAGTGTCTCCTGCTTTCAAGTTAGTGTTGTAAAGAAAAGACAAGCGTGGGTTACGTCGACATAGGTCATGTGCGAGAGTGATGAATTTGTCAATTTTGTGATTTAAAATGTCAGTAGTACAGACTTGTCTTAGAAAGAGATCATCAATATGTCTGTTAACGTCACGGTAAATAACGCTTGAGAAACATACACGAAGACCAGTACGGAAAGTCAAAGTATGTAACAGTAAGGTTTGTAGGTCATTAAAACAGTCATAAGCGGTCGTTGAGTTTCGTTTGAGGTCGTTAGTTTTCCAACATGAAGAATTAAGTATTTTACAATTTGTGGCAGTAAAGATATAGTCTAAAAGGCCAAGTGAAGTGGTGCCACTAATGGATTTAACATAAGAAAGGTGTTGATACAGGTAATTAATAATAGAATCTCGAAAAATGGCAATGTAAGGTGAAAGAAGAGATAACTTACCATTGGTAAAATCGGGTCCGTGGTCCATGAGTGGGAAATAAGTTTTGATAAAAGAATTAGCACAAAGGAACACATATAAAGTGTAATAGACTTAATATAAGTCCCAAAACTCAAGCACTTTTGAATAGTTGACTATTCTTCTTCAGAAGAACAAAGGGTGACCTTTAGCCTGTGCAATGAAATATATAGTAGGACGTGTGACATCATGTAAACCGGAAGTCCCAGTTGAGTTGAATCTGGTGACCAAAAGAACACCATATAGAGTTAATATTGATAAAATACACTGATTAAATAAGTTTTATTTAAAAAATCGTTTGATGATTATCTGCAAGGATATAGAGATTACGCAAATGAAACTTGACAAATTTCAAATAAAGAAAAGTATTTTTAATCTTCAAATCAAAATTACTTTGTACATTGGATAGTCAACATTCTGAAAGAAAAAATTCACAAGCAAATCTTTAATAAAAAGAAATCTTAAAACATAATTCATAAACCAGATATTTTGTGTATGGAATCCTTGTAATGTTTACTAATAATCTAAAAAACTTTGTAAAAACACGCATAAATTTTCAAAAATTATTGTACAATTACTCTTGTAGATACTTTCTTGGTTACGAGCCAGTAATGACAGGGTTAATGCCAGCTCTGTATTTCATGTTAGAGGTGTATTGTAACTGGAGGTTCCTAGTGTTTACCTACCTTAGTGCCAACTCTGTGTTTCATGTTAGAAGTGTCTTGTAACTAGAGGTTCCTAGTGCTTACCTAGTGCCATTTCTGTGATTAATGTTATTATGTAAATGTCTTCATTTAGATTAAGACTTCATGTGTTATAAATGCAAATTTTACAATATGGTAGGTTTCCATTACTTACTGACTTCAACAAGTGCACTTACTAAATACCATTCGTAATTGTTTTAGAGGTCATCCTTTATATTTTCTTAACCCTTTCGAGATGGTTCACAGGTGAAAGGCCATGTCATCTTGTTTGTTGACTCGCATTCAAAATTTTGTTGAACTACTATTTCATGAATATATATGTCAATAACTTTATAGATTATAATTCAAATTTTTAGTTATTTTAGTGATTTTTTTAGTTATTCAGATGTATATATAGAACCTAAAACAAAATTTTGTTTCACATCCTCCATGTGCAAATTTTTTAAAGGCGTGGCAACCGATGTCAAGCAGCAACCTAGTATAAAGGTCATAATTAGAAGAGATAATTGTTTGCTTTACTTT